ACAATAGAGTTGGAAGGGACCTTGTAGGTCATCTAGTCCAACCCCCTGCCGAAGCAAGAGACCCTACACTATTTCTGACAAATGGCAGTCGAATCTCTTCTTGAAAGCTTCCAATGATGACGCTCCCATAACTTCTGGTCCACTGGTTGATTGTTCTCATTGTCAGAAAATTCCTCCTTATTTCTAGGTTGAATCTATCTTTGATCACTTTCCATCCATTATACAGTATATATACAGTATATTATCAAGTAGATTGTATCGCACATTAACCAAGCTAAGTTAGCATGGTGCATTTACTTCTGGGGTCCTTGGTGGTCTCTGAGTATCTCAGAAGTTCAACCCTGAGCGAGAAATATTCTTCTCTATTGATCCTCTCAAATGTCTAACTGTTCTGACCCAAACCTGGTTCCACAAGGCTAAACACAAGACAAAGGTACCAGAACAACCTTTTACTGTTTCATTTACAAATCCTGTTTCTTCCCAGATAAAAGACTGCTTCCAACTAATTAGCTTCGACAAGGAAGAGTCTGGCCAAGTTTTGCAAGAACAACAGATAAAGTTACTAAACAATAAATCAAAGAGTCTCCAAACACCAACTCGGATATTTCTAACGTCCACAAGGCTTGAGTTCAAAAAACGTCTTTGCTTCCTGCAAAGGACTGCGGTTTCTCAGCTGGCTTTTATCTTCTCAGGGCGGGGCCATTACCTTGCAGCCTTACTCCCGAGTCGCCTGTGCTGCTGCAGCTGCTCTTTCCTTGGAGCAGCCCTGCGTGCACTTGGCACAGGCTCCTCGGGGGCCTCTTCTTTGCTACTGCCAGCCTCCACAATCTCCAAAGGCAGCGTTCTACTCCCTGAGGCCCCTCATCCGAGTCGTCGCTCTCCGAGACCTCAGCCGTCTGCGCCTGCTGCCGGGCGAACCACAACACTAACCAAGGTTAAGATCAACCAAGTGGAAGCCATGATATGATGCTGATGCCATTAGACCCTTCGCTGAAGTTCTTCGCTGTGTTGTGTGAACACAGCCATTGTCACCAAGGAAATAACCTCTGGGTATAAAGGCAGAATAAAACACCGAGGAGAGGGGGAACAGTAAGATTTTTTTTTTTAAAAAAAATAAAACCTGGTTGAAACAACCCTTTGATCTTAGAGACACGATATTGACTCGGTAAGCTGACATTAGGGCCCTAAAAATAGGCTCCAAAATTTATTAATACATTACACGCTTCTGAGAGTGTTTCCCAAAAGTGACAGGAGACTATAACAATAAATGATGGCAAACCATGCTTGCAGCTCTAAATATTATTCAAAATATTATTTCATCTGCCTCTTTCCTTCTCAAGCAGATACTGCTCAATTTGGAGAGAAAAAAAAACAGGCTTATTTAAATTTATTAGCCCTTGTGGCTTTATTGGCACAAGAATATGTACGATTTGCAAAAAACCAGAGAGAGAGAGAGAGAGAGAGAGAGACAGAGAGCATTGACTTTCTGTCAAGTATGAGAAATGAATTATTAATTCAATATTCGAGTGGAAAAAAAAATAGTAAAAGGAAATTTGCACCAAAGCTATGCAAAGAGAGGCTAATTTTCTTCTGGCTTCTCCCCGGTTCAAATTTTTATAAGTCTTAACCTTAGAATAGAATAGAATGGAATGGAATGGAATGGAATGGAATAGAATAGAATAGAATTCAGAATAGAATAGAATAGAATAGAATAGAATAGAATAGAATAGAATAGAATGGAATGGAATGGAATGGAATGGAATGGAGTGGAGTGGAGTGGAGTGGAATGAAATCGAATTGAATAGAATTCAGAATGGAATAAAATATAATAGAATTCAGAATAGAATGGAGTGGAAGGGAATGGAATGGAATAGAATTCAGAATAGAATAGAATAGAATGGAATGGAATGGAATAGAATAGAATAACAGAGTTGGAAGGGACCTTGGAGGTCTTCTAGTCCAACCCCTTTTCTTAGGTAGGCAACCCTATACCACTTCAGACAAATGGTTATCCAACATCTTTTTAAAAACTTTGGATGCTTTGGAAAATAGTTTGACCCGCTTCCTCCTCTCTGGGGCAACCCCTGAGATATTGGAAGGCTGCTCTCCTGTCTCCCCTGGTCCTTCTCTTCCCTAGACTAGCCAAGCCCAGTTCCTGCAACCATATAATCGTATATTTTAGCCTCCAATCATCTGTGTTGCTCTTCTCTGCACTCTTTCCAGAGTCTCAACATCTTTTTTTACATCGTGGCGACCAAAACTGAATGCAAATATTCCAAGTGTGGCCTTACCAAGGCTTTGCAAAATGGTATTAACCCTTCACGTGATCTTGATTCTATCCCTTCTCTTTATGCAGCCTAGGACTGTGTTGGCTTTTTTGGCAGCTGCTGCACACCTGCTTCAAAACCCGCTTCAAAAACTCTTGGTGTGTCCAGTGAATGAATTAATGAATGTTGTCAAAGCCACAACATTCGACGTTTTGGGGGATCTAGAGCGAACAGGCCCAGATTTAAATTCTTTTTAAGACAGCGAAACTTTGACCAAACTTTGACCCAGGCGACTTAAGTTAACGGGCGATTCAAGATCTATCGACGGGCACGGATGGGGGGAGCGTTAACAGGTTGTTGTTACTCTTTGTAAGTGTATGCGAGAAAGACCTTGGGAGACTGGAGTGAAAGATGGTGCCACGAGAAGAGAAAGAGATAAGAGACAGCTTAGGCCTCGGAAGGAATGGAGGAGTGGAAAATATATCTCAACTTGGGCAGTTTGAGGATGCATGGACTTCAACTCCTAGAATTCCCCTCCTTGTTCTTCTCGTCCTCCTTGTTTATTTTCTTCTCCTCCATCTTCTCATTTCTTCTCCTTGACTATCTTCTCTCCTCTTCTTCCTCCTCCTCCTCCTCCATCTTCTCCTCATCGTTCTCCTCCTCTTCCTCCTCTTCTATCTTCTCCTTGTTTATCTTCTCTTCTCCTTCTCCATCTTCTCTTTGTCTATCTTCTCCTTCTCCATCTCCTCCTTCACCTTCTCCACCTTCTCGTTTCTCCTCCTCCTCCTCGTCTATCTTCTCCTTGTCTATCATTTCCTCCTCCTCCTTGTGTGTCTCCTTCTCCTCTTCCCCCTAGTCTATCTTCTCCTTTTCCTCCTCCTGCTCCTCTTCCTCCACCTTCTCCTTGTTTTTCCTCCTCCTCCTCCTCCTCCTTGTCTATCTTCTCTTCTCCATCCCCTCCTCCATTCCTCCTCCTTCACTTCATCTATTTCCTCCTCCTCCACCTAGTCTTTCTTCTCCTTTTCCTCCTCCTCCTCCTCTTCCTCCACCTTCTCCTTGTTTTTCCTCCTCCTCCTCCTCCTCCTTGTCTATCTTCTCTTCTCCATCCCCTCCTCCATTCCTCCTCCTTCACTTCATCTATCTCCTCCTCCTCCCCCTAGTCTTTCTTCTCCTTTTCCTCCTCCTCCTCCTCCTCCACCTTCTCCTTGTTTTTCTTCCTCCTCTTCCTCCTCCTCTATCTTCTCTTCTCCATCTCCTCCTCCATTCCTCCTCCTTCTCTTCATCTATCTCCTCCTCCTCCTCTTCCTCCTCCTCCCTTGTGAATTCCCTGGCTCCCCTGGGACAGTTCTAGTTCTCCTGCCAATGGATTTTACCAGGAGGCTCCAGAGTTTTTACATAACAGACGCGCATCTCCCTACGCCTGCCCAATTCTCAGAGTTCCCCCCCCCTCCCTCTGCTCTTTTGCGAAAAGTGGCTCCCACTGTCCCACTTTGGCTTTTTCCACGCCAGCTGATGCTTCTCCTCAGTGCCTCGGAGTTTCCTGACATCTGCATTCGGATCCGAGCCCCTTGGAGGCACATCGGTATACATCGCGCACATCCCAACACCCTTTGGGATTTAGCTCCCAGACAGAATTCTCCGGATTAAGGAACCAAGTTTCAAAATAATGATGATGATAATAATAATAATAATAATAATAATAATAATACCCTTTCTGTTTTGCATGCACATCACAGATTTAATTTTAGGCACATCACTTTGTATCAGGACAGCCTTCTGCACGCTTCTCTCTCTCTCGCCTCCCCCAATGCGCCCCGATGCATATAAATGCACCCTTGACTCCACGGATAAATCTAACCCCCCCAAAAAAACACACACGGCCCCCTGAAGCTATGGCAGAGAAGGAAATTTCCCCTCCTTATGACCTCACCAATTCCAGCATTATTTTTATAAACAGGATAGAGAACATTCTTTAGATATATATATATATATATTCTTTTTTAAAATGCATTTATTGCCATCTCTCCTTGCAAGCAGATCAGGGTATATCAAAAGAATCATAAGAGGAAGAGGGATTTTTTTTTTAAATAAAAAAAAACAACCCTCAGAAATGTCTGTGAACAGAGGGGAATAAAAACAGCCCTTCCAAAATAGGTGTGCAAATGACACACTCCACCCTGGTACAATTCTTCAATTTCTCCCAGCCCTTTTCTTTTAAAGCACCCGTTTCTCTTGAGCCATAAATGCCATGCTCAAGTTGTGCCACTTGTTTCTCCGCGACATTATTATGATTACTATTAAAATTTCCTCCCCTCTTCCTCGGTGTCTTTCCTTTCTCTTTTTTTCCCCTCACCCTCCCAGCCTAGATGCCTACAGGTGCATTGCACCCGTCCAGCTCCGCCGTAAATACCTGGGCGGCTCTCAATTAAATTTATAGCGTGCAAATTAAAAAAAAAACAACCCACCGCTTGCCATCCTTGCCTTCTCCTTTGCACAAGTCTAAAAAAGGGCTTTGAATGTCCTAGAATGTCCTCTTTGTACAGCTAGGAGATATTCCCAATCTTTTTTAATTTATTTTTTTATTTTGCAGAGGGGAAATCCGTTAGCCAAGCAGAAAGCGTCAAGCTGCCCCTTTCTCATTTTCCACATCTCATCCTTCCCAATTCTTGCATATTTTCCCTTTCTTCTTCCTCCTCCTCCTCCTCCTCCTCCTCCTCCTCCTCCTCCCCGTACCTTACTCATAGTGCCTGCAGTTGGATGCTCTCAGGAGATACTCCAAGGAAGATGCTGTATCCCTTCCTCTCTCTCTCTCTTTCTCTCTCTCTCTCTCTCTCTCTCTGCTGGATTTTCATTCACGCGCACAGCATCTGTTCGCATTCCCAGCTCACTGGCACACTTAGCTGCACTCAAAGGTACCCGGCACTTTGATTGATAGGGCCAGGCAGCCAATGAGAGAAGCCAGGGGTTTCTACAGCTCTTTTTTTGCAAAGTGGAGGATTAACCAGTTTGGTGGTAGTAAACAAACTGTGTTTCCTTTTTTTTAATTCTCTTTCTTTCTTTCTTTCTTTCTTTCTTTCTTTCTTTCTTTCTTTCTTTCTTTCTTTCTTTCTTTCTTTCTTTCTTTCTTTCTTTCTTTCTTTCTTTCTTTTTAATAAGAAAAAAAAGAAGAGGTGAGATTGCACATTTTGGAAACCCAGAACGTAAGGCTGAGGTGTAGCCGATGCGCTACGATGCTAACCTGTGTTAAAAAACAAACAGACGAACATACCTCCTGCCAGCTTTTGCCGATTTCAAGCAGGAGAGCTAATTCAACTGTGCTCAGTTTAGATGGTTGGGGTTTGGGGGTTCCCACCGCCCCCCCCCAAAAGGCTAGCGGAGACGCCAGGCCTTGGAAGTTGCAGCTGCAAAATATGGGAGGGAGGGAATTTAAGGCAGGAGGTCGTCGCCGACATGATTTCTAGACAAGGGGTACCAATTGTGTTTGCAAAGTTATGACTAGAACAGTGGCAAGGTTCAAGTGGGTGGACTTCAACTCCCAGAATCCCCCAGCCGGCCTGCTTTAAGATGGGTGGACTTCAACTCCCAGAATCCCCCAGCCAGCATGCCTTAGGATGGGTGGATTTCAGCTCCCAGAATTCTCCTTGGTTTAATGCAGGTGGACTCCCAGAATTTCCCAGCCAGTCTGCTTTGTGTGTGAACTTCAACTCCCAGAATTCCCCGGCCAGCATGCTCTGAGATGGGTGGATTTCGGCTCCCAGAATCCCCCAGCCGGCATGCTCAGGGATGTGGGTGGCAATCATAAGTGCGAGGACTGGTGTTAAATAATTTGTTTTCACCACCATCGTAACTTTGAACAGTCGTGAAACGAAGGGTTCTAAATCGAAGAGCTACTGCGAGGGAATTCTGGGTGTTGAAGTCCACCCATCGGGAGATAGTTGAATTCTAGTTCTGCCTTAGGCATGAATGCCGCCTGGGTAACTTTGGATCAATCACCAGGGGATGGTGAGCTCTAGTTCTACCATAGCCATGAAAATTAGCAGGGTTGTTGTAGGGAAAAAAACAGGAGGAGGAAGGTGTGTTGATATATTTGCCACTTTGAGTTATTTGTAAAAAAATAATAAAGGCCAGGTACAAACAAACAAACATTAGTCCAACCTGAGCAGGGGGCTGGACTAGAAGACCTCCAAGTTCCCTTCCTTCCTTCCTTCCTTCTTGCTTTCTTCTTCCTTTCTTCCCTTTCTTTCTTCTTCCTTCTTTCCTTCCCCCTTCCTATTTTCCTTCCCTTTCTTTCTATCCTTCCTTCCCTTTCTTTCTTCTTTCTATCTATCCTTCCTTCCCTTTCTTTCTTTCCTTCCTTCTTCCTCCCTCCCTCCTTCTTTCTTTCCCTTTCTTTTCCTTCCTTTCTTTCTTTCTTTCTTTCTTTCTTTCTTTCTTTCTTTCTTTCTT